CCTTAGAAGTAGATTTTTACAGAATACTTTTTCAACAGATCAGTAAATATGGATTATTAAGGCATATATTTTTTCAAGGATCTCCAAGGTCAGATTTTTATAGCCTCAGCCATACAGGGGACATATATGATTTGATACAGCCAAAAAGTGTATCATCAAAATAACGGATTTAAACCTTTGGTTTCTTTTGTGCAAATCAAATCTGTCCGTTTGTCTGGCTGCAGCGCACGACAACTCTAAAAAGAGTATCCGATTTATTCCAAGCTTATTATAGAAAAAGAAGAGATCATTGAATTCTGTACTAAATTTGCGAATCCTAATATTTTTATCAGTGCTAGGTCAAGAGAAAAAATGAAAAATATCGATCTACTTCATCAAGTACCACCCCCACAACGGGTCAACATTTTGAATAACCCTAAAGTTCATAAAACTCGAAATGATGGTTCAATTCGTTTCAAACTTCGCTCATCCCAAAATTTCTATCAACACAAAAACAAATGTGAATATGGAGTATATCGTGTCACTCCTTCTGGTATCTTCCGCACAACGGGTCAAAACTTTGAATACTTATAACTCTCTCAAAATGTCGATGCACGAGTCTTCTATTTTGAGCTCCACTTTCTGCTGGATTTCCCCGTAATTTTTGTAAAAATTTAATTCTGTCGCACAGTGCTATTCTGCACATTTCTGACATGTGCAGGCTTCACATGAACTATGCCAATTGACCCTATGCCAATTTTCAAAATTTCAATCACTATCCGTTTACTTAATACCAAATATGGTACTATTTATTATTATGCACTTTTCGTGCACCAAAACCACCTCTTTATGACAAACCTATAACCAGCAAGGACCCCAATACAAAATTTTAAAATCCCAGCTTCATATGTTCACCCACATCCAAACAGTTCCAAATTTAGTACCATTTAGTAAAGTTCTTACATTTAGTTCACAAAAACCAAAACCACCTTCATATATCAAACTTACTTTAAACCTTAATACTCATACCCAATTTCAAATTTTTTAGTTCTATCCGTTCACATAATACCAAATTGTATCATTTTGAGAAGTTTAGTACCATTTTAGAAATTTTCGTAACCTCAGAGTCCGAATTTCCAAAAAGCCTTTGATACACCAATCCTGCACTCTATCAGCGATTCTCATTCCGAATTTTATCAAATTCTAGCTCATGTCGTTTGTCCAATAAAAAGTATTCAGATTTTAGTACTTTTTATACTCTTTGAGTATGAATTTCCAAAACCCCAACCTTAACATACGCCAATACACCTAAAATGACCCTAGTGCCAAATTTCTAGCTTCAACCGTTTCATCTGCGCATTGATTCTCAGTGAGTCAGTTATTTCACTATTCTTTTATATATAAAATACCTAATACAGAATGTAGTACCACTTGGTTCTTTTCGTTCAAGTAGGTATTTAATTCGAAAAGCACTTTATATTTACACATCAATATCGACCATATTTCGAGTTTTAGTACCATTTAGTATCGTTCGTAAATCTACGTTACCTATTTCCACAACCAACAGCACTACACACCAGTTTTGACCCTAACACAAAAATTCATCAAACTCTATTCGTACAATTGTGTACCATCTATTACCTTCTGTACTCTTGTAGTACTCATCTCCAAAACTAATTCTTAAGTTCAGGATTCCAGCTCTATAGATTCTCCCAAATCCAATTCGCACCAAATTGAGTACCATTTAGTACATATAAGTACAAATATCCCCAACTACCTATTCACTCAATCCAATAGAACTCTTATTTCCAAATTTTAGGATTTCAACTCTACCGGTTCTCACAAAATTTTGATTTGTACTAAATTCAATAACATTGCAATAGTAATCTTATTTCCAAATTTCCGAATTCCAGTTCTATCGCTTCACTACAATTTCAATTTGTACCAACTCTAGTACCATTTTAGTACACATTTCCATAAAAAATTGCATCATAAAATCCAATAGAAAACTTCCCATTTTTCAGACTATTCTCAAATTTAGTACCATTTAGTACAGTTCTCACACTTGTTACAAATCATCATATATCATTGGTTTACAAATCTTCATATATCAAAATTTCTTTCTAACCTTAAATCTAATACCAAATTTTTAGCTCTATAACATAATTCCAAATGGTACCATATTTAGTACCATTTTAGAAATTTTCATAACTTTAAGGTTTGAATTTCCAAAATCCTTTTGCTACATCAATCATGCACTCCATCAGTGACTCTCATTTAAAATTTCAGAATTCTAGCTCATTTCCTTTTTCCAATGCAAAATAACAAATTTAGTACCATTTAATACACAAAAGTACGAATTTGAAAAACTACCTACATACCTCAGTCCGGCAATGAATTAGTAATCTTATTACCAAATTTCGGTTCACCCAAATCTAAATTGTTCCAAATGTAGTACCATTTAGTACTTTTCGTACAGATAGGTACACATTTCGAAAACTGCTCCCATATTCCAATCCTAAACTTTGTCAGTAATGTTAATTTTATGTTTCAGAATTCCAGCTCCAAATTCAAATTGTACTAAATTTGGTACCGTTTAGTACTTTTCGTATACATCGACCCTACTCCTCAACCTTGATTCCCATTCCATATATCATGTTTTTATCTGTAACCGTTCACGTGATACCAAATGTCGTACATTTTATTACTTTTGGTGTAGATTGGTGCACATTTCACAAACTACCCCCACAACTCCCAATCTTACACTTCGTCAGCAATGTTAATTTCAAATTTTAGGAATCCAACCGTTCCTCCAACTACAAATTGTACCAAATTTAGTACCGTACCGTACTTTTCATATACATCGACCCTACCTTGATTACCATTCTATATTTCAAGTTTTTAGTTGTAAGCGTTCTCATGATACGAAATGGTACCAATGTAGTACATTTTTGGTACTTTTCGTACACTTATGGTACAAATTTTCAAAAACCCTTTGGTACATCCATCATACTCTCCATCATGTTCTTATATAATTTAATTTAATAAAAATCTCTCTCTTTTTCCCCCTCTTCTCCGCTAGGTAGGCCCACTATTCTCTTTTATTTTAAGAACATGCTCACTTATCCGTAAACAGTCTGTCAGTCCCTTAAACCTGGATTTTTTTTATACCATCCACCTTGGAAAGAGGGTATATTAACTTTGTCATTCCGTTTGTAACATCCCTAAATATTCGTCATAGACCCCATAAAGTATATATACTCATACTCAGAATAAAATAAAAAAATAAGTCGATTTAACGATGTCCGTCTCTCCGTCTATCTCTCCGTCTATCTCTCCGTCTGTCTGTCTGTCTGTTGAAATCACGATACAGCCCACATTATTTGACGTAGAGCGTCAAAATTAACAGAATAATTTGTATTGTGTCTAGGATGGTTGGTATTGAAAATGAGATATATCCGTCCACGTTTTGGTATAGTCCCTATGTAACGGTACCTCCCGATATGCGGTATTTTGATGGTTTTAGTCACATTTTTTCACGGATTTATCTAAAAATTGGTATTTGTTGGTCATAATGGGTTCTGGCTGCGGTGGCGAAACATTGTATGTATAGGTTCACGATGTGGTATAGCTCCCATATAACGTTACCTCCCGATATTCCGAATTTTGATGATTTTTGCCACATTTTTTTCACGGATTTGTCTCAAAATTGGTATTTACTGGTCATAATGGGTTCTGGCTGCTGTGGCGATACATTGTATGTATAGGTCCACGTTTTGGTATAGCTCCCATATAACGGTACCTCCAGATATTCGGTATTTTGATGATTTTTGCCACATTTTCTCGCGGATTTGTCTAAAAATTGGTATATGTGGATCATAATGGATCCTAGTTTGTGTGGCAAAATATTGCATGTGTAGGTCCACGTTTTGGTATAGCCCCCATATAACGGCACCTCCCAATATTCGGTATTTTGATGATTTTTGACACAATTTTTCAAGAATTTCTCTGAAAATTGGTAGTTGTAGGTCATAATGGGTTCCAGTTCGTGTTGCGAGTCATTGTAATTATAGGTCCACGTTTTGGTAAAGCCCTCATATAACGGTACCTCCCGATATTCGGTAATTTGATGATTTTTGCCACATTTTTTCAAGGATTTTTCTAAAAATTGGTATTTGTAGGTCATAATGGGTTCTAGCTCCTTTGGCGAAACATTGCATGTGTAGGTCCACGATTTGGTATAGCCCCCATATAACGGTACCTCCTGATATTCGGCATTTTAATGGTTTTTGCCACATTTCTTCTAATGTTTCCTTTACCTTAAGGTGGAGGGTATTAAAAGTTTGGCCCTGCCGAACCTAATGTTTTTTTTTTACTTTTTTTATAGAAAATTTTTCCAAGCACCCAAAATGTGGATTAAATGTCTTTCAGCGGGGACATGTGTCAATACATTTGAACCCTCGTTTTTTGTCTTTTCTTCTATCCAATTACGTTTAAATCCTTTAAGAAAAGGTCCTAATGAGTCCTGTGTCCGTTTTGTCGCTCTTAGAAACAAAGTGAAAAAAAAACAAAAATCCAACTTGACCTTCATATTTATCTGGGCAATTTAAAGGGTTGTTGTTTTTTTGTTTTATATTTAATTGAATAAGGCCGTCAAAGGAAGTGTAAAAAATGAAAACAAATAAAATGTCAGGAAAATAGAAACAAAAAAATGGAAAAAATTACGACTTTGAAAATGTCCTGTCTAAGCGAGTGTGTGTGTCGTGAAGAGTGACGGATTTTTTTTTTTCTGAAATAAAAATTCTTAAAGTCTTCTGAATGCTGACCCTTGTAATTTGAAAATAAATAGTTATTGTTGTTGAGAGACGGTGTAAAAACAGTGACACACAATGGCATTGTGTTACAGATCCTCTGTGTGTTGTTGGGTATCCTTGTGTTTTCCATCTCTTCCAGCATTTTTTTATGGCCACTGATTTTCTTGCTCATTGTTGTTGTTTCTCGTTTTTTTGTTGTCTTTACAGATTTCCTTTTGGCCTTTGAGGCATGTCTTCTTTTGTGGATTAAAGGAAAAACAAAACTTTGTTTTCTTCGGTTTTTTTTTTTCTGTTTCTGTTGCAACTTATTTTATTTGTTGGGCGCCAAGGATATAAACAACAAAACAAACTTGGTAGTACAACAACAACAACAGCAGCAGCATCAACATCACTGAACCAAGGCCTTCTGTGGGATTGTTTTGTAAAAAAGCAACAACAACAACAAACATAAGCAAAGGACCAAGGCAAACAGAAAACTTATCGGCAAACTTAAACAAAAGGAGGCGGGGAAGAGTGGCAACAATAATTGAAAATAGCAACATAGAAAAAAAAAAACACAACAAAAATACTTTTTCCTTCCCCTCCCCTGGCGGTCACATGTAATTGCTAAGGGGGAATAAGCGGCAACAAGCAAATCATACCGACATCATATTTCCCAGCAATTGGCACAGAAAAAAAATCGCAAAAGCTTTAATGTCTACTTGGCTGCTGGTGGTGTTTTTGTAAGCATAGGGACACGACATACAACACATCCGGAACCTAGTCACAGATACGTGTCAGCAACAGCCAAAGTTCCACTGACACACAGCCAGTCAGCCATACATCTCTTTCTCTCTATCTCGACGTTGTAGTGCCACTAACACAGCGACACACAGACATAACTAAATCAACGTTATCAGCAATTATCACAACGTTTCGTTTGGCAGCATAAAAAACAACAACAAAATACAACAAACATAGAGGCCTCAAACGTAACAAACAAAAAAAAAAAACAGCCCGGCTCCCATTGAAAACGGAGAAGCAAAAACACAACAAGAGAGAAACAAGCCTCTGAAAGCCTGCCATTTCAAGTGAAAGCACTCAACCAAGCAACCAGCCAACCATCCAAACAGGCAGCCTGTCTGTCATACAACCAGCAATTCATTCATACACATACAACGCAACATAATACCATATCAAAACCAGCCGCAGAGCAATACATTAGCAAGATTACACCAACCACCCAACCAACTTCACACAACCACCCAACGACGAATGCAGTTACAAAGAGAGCGGGAAGCAAGAGAGTGGAACGACAAATAAGAGACGCCATCATCATACACGACTACATCAATCATTGTAACGGCCTCTCATTGCCTGTTGCAAGCAAGCCAACATATCAGCATCACCAGCAACAACAACAACAACAACAACAACACCAAACCACATTGTATAGACATTGCCGATTCGGTTGGGTTATTCATTTCCAACTTAACTCAATTTCTATCACAAGAAGAAGAAGCATCCAACCAGCCAGCCATCATTTTTATGCAGACAACAACATAACAGTGCCCTCCAACAACAACAATCAGCCTTATACAAAGCAAAAGCATTTCTGCAAAGAACAAGAGAACGGTAGACAGGCTCTGGACAACACAGACACACCCACACACACACACAAACAGCCTGTGGAAATATTATAAGCGGGTGGCATTAACATCATTATTGCAACGGCTGTCATTAACACTCTAAAAATCCGCTTGGCCTCCCCACCAAAAATTCACACACCACCCCCCTCCCCCCCAATCATAGTTAGTTACACAGAGAGACTACCAGCAACTGTGTGGCACTTGTCATTCCATCCATCCGGCCGGCATTGACAACGCAACACAACGCAACACCAACAAAAATGGCGGGGACAACGGCGAAACGTAGCCGAAAGGATAACAACATGCTGATGCACGGTTTTATTTTGGTGACTATTTTGGCAACGGCCAAAAGTGCCGAAGCGGAAATTACCATGGAAGCAGCTTTTCAAGGTAATTGAATTGTGTTGTATACTTTTGATGTTATACCAATTTAATTTCCACCCCTAGCCACCACCCCCTTTCTTTATGTTTATTTATTCAATGCAGTTTTCCAGTTGTGTGTGTTTTTTTTCAGAGAAGTGGTAAATTTTGTGTTATGCCCCTCTTAGTGTGGTCCATTGAGGTACTTGACTTAGATTTTTATTGGGCTGCTACTGTTTTCTTTTCTTTCGTGCTCGTATTTTAATGAACTACTCGTTTCGAGGAGGCCATGCCACAAAGAGAGAGAGGGAGAGCGAGAGATGATTATCTCTGTTGTTATAATAATGACTATGCATTTGAAATTTTCATGATCTTGACACCGTAACGTATACGTTGTCACGTTACTAATACGTAACGGTGTAGCAAATGGTAAATAAATGGTAGTTTAAATATCATTTGGGAGGCATATATTGAGTTATGTAACAAGTAAAACCAGTAAAAAAAGTCCTAAAGTCGGGCTGGGCCGATTTTATGATACCCTACACCACTTTGCTAATTTAGTTGCGCTTTAGTTGAGTTGATTGATTATAATTATAATTTAAAATTCAAAGGACTAAATATGACGAAGTATTTGTATCTTTTAAATTCGGACTTGTATTGCCCATTTGGTGCAAAATTAATTTGAAATCAGATAAAGATATATATGGGAGCTATATCCAAATCTAAACCGATCTCGATAAAATTTGGCAAAGATATTTCTGAGCTGTATTTGATATATTTCCCTGAATATCGTTGTTACGGAGTGCATATTACGGCTGTGGGTAATAAATATAACAAATCGGATGAACAATATATATATGACAGCTATAGCTATATCTGAACCGATCTTCACCAAATTTGGCATACCAGCTTCTAGACTCAATTCGGTCATAAGTGCCAAATTCCATCCCATTTGGACAAATATTAGACGTTTGGTGGACAATAAAAGGTAAATCGGACGAAGTTATATATGGGAGCTATATCCAAATCTGAACCGATCTCGATAAAATTTAGCAAAGGTATTTCTGAGCTGTGTTTGATATATTTCCCCAAATATTGTTGTTACAGAGTGCATATTACAGCTGTAGGTAACAAATACAACAAATCGGATGAACAATATATATGGGAGCTATAGCTATCTCTGAACCGTTTTCGATCAAATTTGGCATACTTATTTTCAGGCCTAATTTGGTTGCATGTGCAAAATTTCCATACTATTCGGGCTGATATTACACGTTTGGTGCACAATAAAAGGCAAATCGGACGAAGATATATATAGGAGCTATATCTAAATTTTTACCGATTATCTCCAATTTCAATAGGGTTCGTCTCTGGGCCAAACAAATATTGTTTGGAAAATTTCATCTCAATCGGATAATAAATGCGACCTGCATTTTGTTCACAAGAATACATGGACAGACGGACGGACGGACAGACGGACTGACATGCATAAATCAACTAAGAAAGTGATTCTATGCAGATCATCAAAAGGAACTATGGGTCTATCTCGTTTCCTTTTGCCTGTAACAAACAAATGCACAAAGACCTAATACCCTGTCCACCTTGTGGTGTAGGGCATAAAAACATTAAGTTCGGCCGGGCCAAACTTTTAATACCCTCTACCTTAGGGTAAAGGAAACATTAGAGGCCATTATGACACACATATTCCAAGTTTTAAACATATTCATGGGAAAATGTGCAAAAAATCTTCAAAATACCGAATATCGGGAAATACGGCTATACAAAAACGTGGACCTATACATACAGTGTTTCGCCAAAAGAGCTAGAACCCATTAAGACCAACAAATACCAATTTCTACACAAATCCGCAAAGAAATGTGTCAAAAAACATTAAAATGCCGAATATCGGGAGGTACCGTTACAATGGGGCTATACCAACCAAATCGTGGATCCATACATGCATTGTTTCGCCACCTGAACTGGAACCCATTATGATCTACAAATACTAATTTTTAGACAAATCCGTGAAAAAATGTGGCAAAAATCATCAAAATACCGAATATCGGGAGGGACCATTATATGGGGACTATACCAAAACGTGGACGGATATATCTCATTTTCAATACCAACCATCCTAGACACAATACAAATTGCTCTGCTAAATTTTGGCGCTCTACGTCAAATAATGTGGGATGTTTCGTGATTTCAACAGACAGACGGACGGAGAGATAGACGGAGAGACGGACATCGTTAAATCGTCTTAGAATTTAATGCTGATTATGAATATATATACTTTATGAGGTCTACGACGAATATTTAAGGGTGTTATAAACGGAATGACAAAGTTAATATACCCTCCTTTCTAAGATGGAGGGTATAAAAAAAGAGCTGTTCATACATTAAATTTAGAATTTTCAAAGCATATATTGAGGCGATCCCAATACTCTGCTGTACTTATACTATACTTATATTACAAATGCTATAAATACGTGAATCAATACCAAAGTAGCTATTGCCGACAGAGGTATAGCCTCAGCAAATGTTCGACTATTAAAGTATTTTTTGACTTCTGTTATGATTATTCAAATTGTTGTCCCTCTATGGGGTTGGTTCCGAAGGAATGGGTTATTATTTTTCATTTCGTATCGGACCTTACTAAATATGATATTGCGATGTGCCAAGTTTGGACTATATTGGTTACTTCCTTCACTTTATTTTATTTAGAAAGATTTAAAATGTGCATAAAGTATCAGATATAATCGACAGTAGTAATCCATTTTCATGCTTCATGTAATACAGATAAAAATTTTCGTATCGGCAAAATTACAAGAAAATCGAATCTGTTGTTGATAGAAATATTAAGATGAGCTAAGTCTGGATGGAATCGGATGTTAATTTCACGTTTTATGAGTTTCATGGATATTTAAATTGTTGACTCTTTGTGGGGGAGGTACCCGAAGAGGTGGACCGATATATCCCAATTTCACACCTGACCTTGGATTAATAAATATATTGCGATGTGCTTAATTTGTAGAGAACCGGATGCTTATTTCGTATTTTATGATCGTTTTGAATATCCAAAATTTTGACCCTTTGTGGGGCAGGTACCAGAAGAAATGTTCCGATCCCTACCATATTTATAAAAGATCTTGTGTTGATACAAATATTGAGATGTGCCAAGTCTGAATGGAATTGGATGTTAATTTCGCGTTTTATGAGCTTCATGGATACTCACAATTTTGACTTTTTGTGGGGGAGGTACCAGAAGGAGTGAACCGATATATTCCATTCTCACATCAGATCTTGTGTTAGTAGAAATAATGGGATATGTGAAATATGAAAAGAGAAAGGGGCTTGTTTCGGATTTTATAATAGTTTTGGTTATTCAAAACTTTGACCCTTTGTGGGGGAGGTACCAGAAAAAATGGTCCGATCTCTACCATTATTATGCCAGAACTTACGTTGATAGAAATATTAAGACGTGCCAAGACTAAATGGAATCGGATGTTAATTTCGCGTTTTATGAGCTTAGTGGGTATTCAAAATACCAGAAAGAGTGGACCGATATAATCCATCTTCACACGAGACCTTGGGCTATAAATATCGGGATGTGTGAAATTTTAAGACAATGGGATTCCTACATCACATTTTATAAGAGTTATAATTATTCAAAATTTTTACCCTTTGTGGGGAGGCACTTGATGGAGTGGACCGATATTGTCCATATTCGGACCTGACCTAGCACTGATGCAAATATTAGGATTAGCAAAATTTGGAGCAAAATCGGATTTTCCCTTCTCTTTCTGTGCAAAGAATATTTTTTTTGCAAATTTCGACCTTTTGTGGGGGAGGTACCAGAAGGAGTGGACCGATATTGGTCATCTTCGAACTCGATCTAAGTTTGACAAAAATATTACGATGTACCAAGTTTGGACCAAATCGGACGGACGGACATCGCTAGATTGACTTCAAATGTTCTGAAACGGATTTGGTCCAAAGAGACCTAGGGTCTAAAACCGTTATTTCGACTAGGCACGTTTTGACCGTATCAAATGATATATACCCTCTGTAGCCATATGGCTGAGGGTATAAAAATACTGGGAGAGATCTTTTCCATCCAGAACTCGAAATCTCAAGATCAAAATACCGAAAATTTGAAGATACAGTAATATGGAGTCTATACCACCAAATAGTGGAGCAAAATTGAAAATTTTTAAAATCTGAAAGTGACATGTTTTGGGAGTCCATTCCGAAATATGAACCGATATGTCCCATTTTAATTACCAAGCATACTGGGGTTCTAAACAATTTTGAGCAAAATTCCAATATAATAGAATGTATCCCTGTATTAGTATCCGTTTTTAAGGATCTTACCCCTCTGTACGTTGGTCATCGACCCATATTCGACAGGCTTAGCTTCTTAACACCGTTTTCATTGTAAAATTAAACCATCAGCCAGTCCCAATTTTCAGCCTGATTCTCTTTTATTCGCTCAAATTAAATTGTCTTCGCTCATCTCAAAAGACCCCAATGGGTTTAATTTGTTTTTATACCCTCCACCATACTATGGAGGGTATATAAATTTTGTCATTCCGTTTGTAACTCCTCGAAATACTCATGTCAGACCCAATAAAGTATATATATATATATATATATATATATATATATATATATATATATATATATATATATATATATATATATATATATATATATATATATATATATATATATATATATATATTCTTGATCAGCGTAAAATTCTAAGTCGATTTAACCATGTCCGTCTGTCTGTTGTAATCACGCTATCTTTCGATCGAATTGAGATAGAAGGCTACAATTTTGCACACGTGTTTATTTTTCCAGTAGGCAGGTTAAGTTCGTAAATGGGCCATGTAGGTCCACGTTTTTATATATCCCCCATATATAAATACCTCCCGACATTCGGTATTTTGATGATTTTAGCGACGTTATTCGCTGGAATTGTTTCAAATTTGGCATTTGAAGTTCGAAGTGGATACTACAGCCTT